AGAGGTTTTTCACTATAGGGCGCGTGCGCTCGCCTGACAGACAGAGAGAGACATAGAGACAGAAAGCGAGAAATCACCCCCCAGGGAGGGATGGTCATGCCGCAATCCCTTCTCCTCCATTCTCCTCTCGGGATCTTGGGCACGCATGCACGCACACGTACCTGGTGTGAGTTTTAAGCCACCGGGTCTGGGACGCGAACCGCGGTCGACTATGTGGGAATCCAGCGACATAGCCATTACGCTAACTGCTGGTTCCCATTGCTTTCTCACTCTTTCTTTCCGTCTCTCTCTGGTCAGATTAAAATAAATGAATGAATAAATAAAATAAAATAAATAATTATATTAAAAAAATCTTAATCTAAGAATTTCATTTGGCATAGTTACAGACATCGAAAGGACCAGCTGAAGTTGATTCTAGATTCCTTCTTAGGTTTCTGGTGTTAGAGGGGAGAAAGTTACATGCTTGGAGACGTAATTTATGTGATTTTTGTGCAATTGTGCTTTTTGAAACTTTTTTTTAGGTGTTTGCCATAGGGCACATGCACTTGCTGGAGACAGGCAGAGCTAGAGAGAGGGATGGTAAGAAATCATCCCCCAGAGGGGATAGTCATGCTGCAATCCCCTCTCCTCCATTTTCCACTTAAGATTTTGAGTGTGATTCTCAAGCCATCAGGTCTGGGACTTGAAGGCAGTCGGCCATGTGGCAATCCAGTGCCTTTACCACTATGTCACCTTCTAGCACCTTAAACCATTTTTTTTTTAAAGCAGCAGAACTTCTGCATATAAGTAAAATCAGAGCTGCTCTGATTGAGGATGGATACAGGGCCTAAAGTGTGGCTTGTGTGGCCTTTCCTTACCTTTCTCATATGACTCGTAGGGCTCTAAGGAGTCAGCAGATGCCAGTGTCTTTAGTACGGTTCTTGGGGGCACTATGATTGTGAGTTTGTTTTCTCTCATCAACCTTGTCCTTCCCTTCCCTACTCCCAGATGAGGTGCAGGCCATTGCCACTCTAATAGAGAAGCAGGCACAGATTGTGGTGAAGCCCAGGATGGTGTCAGAAGAAGAAAAGCAGAGAAAAGCTGCCCTCCTAGCCCAGTATGCTGATGTGACAGATGAAGAGGAATATCCTTTCTGGAGTTACGGCACCATTTCAAGCCAGAAATGTTTGCTGGTTTGCAGTGATCTTTGGAAAGTTCTAGCCCCCACTCTAGTTTAATTTTCCCCTCTTAGAAAGGCAGTGCTTTAGGGCCCTTAGTGGATTTAAGGAATGATACCTGAATAATCGACACTGGACTTGCATTTTTCAACATGTAATTAGTATATTCTTGAAAATGTAAGTATAAAACAAATAATTTTTTTAAGAGAGATTTTTGTGGGGGACCAGCAGGTGGTATGGTAGTTAATGTGCTGGACACTCCCCACATGACCAACCACGGTTCAAGTCCTGGACCTGGTGGCTTGGTTTCTCACTTTCCCTTTCTATCTCTCTATCTCTGTCTCTCTCTGGTCAATTAGTCATTCTTTTTTTTTTAATTAAATATTTTATTTATTTATTATTATTATTATTTTCATATACATTTTGCCAGAGAAAGAGAGGAAGAGTGAGAAAGCAAGCCTCAGGTCTGGGACTTGAACCATGGTCAGCCATGTGGGAATTCTAGCGCCCTAACTACCATGTCACCTGCTGGTCCCAGTAAATAATTCTTTTTTAAAAAAAAGAGGTTGGCCAGCAGGTGGTGTGGTGGGTAAGGGTGCTGGATTCCCACCAGCCATGGTTCAAGTCCCAGACCTGGTGGCTTGCTTTCTTGCTTTCCCTTTCTCTCTGTCTCTGGTGGTAAAAAACAAACAAACAAACAAAAACCAAAGAAATGAACAATGAACAAATCATTCTTTTTTAAAAAATAAAAAAGATTTTTGCTATAGGGTATGTACACTTGCCAGAGAGACAGAAAGCCAAAAATCACCTACCAGGGAGGATGGCCATGCTACAACCCCTTCTCCTTCATTCTTCTCTCTGGATTTTAGGCATGCACACACATGCGCCCAGCGAGAGTTTTAAGCCACTGGGTCTGGGACTCAAACTGTGATTGACTACATGGAGTCCAGCAATGTAACCATTACACCATCTGTTGGTTCCTAAAACAAATAATACTTTAATGGACCATTTCTATTTTGCTTTAAAAAAATATAGCTGTGATTTCTAACGTTTGTGTGACACTTTTCCATAGTGTAGTATTATTATATTCTTTCCTAGTTAATAAGGAAACTGAGGCACTAAGAGATGAATGGGTGATCAGAGGTATTCATAAAATTAGTGACAAAGCCAGGACTAGAACCTAAAATATCCTGAGAATATTTTATTTATTTATTTCTCCCATGAAAGAGGGAGAGGGAGGAAGGGTCACTCCCAAAAGAGTCTTCATGTCATGAACCTTCCTTGAGGCTCAGCCACCCCAAGGTCATGGGCAGGCATGCCACCCGTGTACACATGAGGACCTTTGGACAAACCCAGAACCTTCCCTTTTGGGCTTAGCATTGTGGAGTGTTGTGTTGCCACTGTGGCTGACCTGAATCTTCTTTATGTCTCAGTGGCCATATAGTTAAAAGTAAGGCTAAACCCTAAGCAGCACCAGAATAAGTGGAATTTGAATGGGAAATGTGCAAAAAAGAAAATGTTATCAATAGGGACAGATTTAGTTCCCTGCAAATTAGAAATTTAGGAAATGCTTAGCTCACTGAGCCTATTTCAGTCAAGTCTGTGGAGCATTATGCCATAGATATCAGAAATGTCAGCTGTCTCATTGCTATAAGAATTTTTTTTCTTTTCAGAGTCAGTTTCTCTTCTAGTCTTCCCTTATAACTTTTCTTGCCAGGGTTGGCAGAACTATGGTTCTAGTTACAAAATCTTCATTCTTAGGCTAGGAAAGAAATTTTAAAGCAGCCTCCTGGAGGACTTGTGAAGACACAGACTGCTACAGCTTTATCCCCAGAGTTACAGCTTTTGTAGGTTTAGAGGGGCCCAAGAATATACATTTATTTATTTATTTTAAAAAGAATTATTTTATTTAATCTTATTTATTTTATTTACTTTAATGTGACCAAAGAGGGACAGAGTGAGAAAGAGTGAGAGAAAGAGGGAAAGTGAGAAAGCAAGCCATTGGGTACAGGACTCGAACTGCGGTTGACCATGTGGAAGTCCAGCGCCCTTAACCACCATGCTACTTGCTGGTCCCAAGAATACACATTTCTGACAAGTTCCCAAGGGTTCTGGGAACCACACTTTGAGAACCACTATTTTAGAGGGCGCCTCACCCTGGCTTCTAGATAATGTAGCAATCTACCCAGACAACTTGTTTCTTTAGCCTCTAAGAAGAGGATTGTACAGGATCTTAGAAAAGCTCTGAACAATCTTCCCTAAGTTAAAATTTCCAAAGATTTATCTTCTGGATTTAACGTCACATTCTTGATAGTATCCTCCCTTCCACTCAGGGTGATTTTCCTACCCATCAGTCTGTTGAATGTTTTCTAATGTCGGGTTGGGATGTGCCAATCTTTGTTTTCCATCTGACTTTCCTTAACATCACTCACTGAAGCAGATGAGAAGGATGATTCAGGTGCCACTACAATGAACATTGGTTCTGACAAGTGTATCCTTCTGTGTCCATGCCCATTTACTTCTCCACAGAATCCTCCTGAAGACCAGTTTTTAATTTGCTATCGTTGTTTAGAGCTCTCTGTCTCCAGGAACTCAAGTCATGCCAATATTGGAAGCCCCATTTCTAGGACAGTCCTAGATAATTGAGCAAGAGCTATTCCCGAAGAAAACAAGTTAAGAAGTACCATGAAATAATTAGCTTAGAGGAAGGACTTCTAAGGGAAAATAATTTTTTGGAAAGAGAATACTAACACCAAACAGTTAAGCTAAAAATATGAGCATACTGAAATATTTGTGCTAAGTGAGCTCCTTATCAGAATCACGTATGAGAAGCTTCCAAGAAAAGGTAGAGTTAGAAAGCCACCTTAAAGCTGGGAAATATGATGAATTATCAGAGATGGGGAGGTTATTTCAGGAAGACTTAAATTATTCTTTTTAAGATGTTTTTAGAGAGATTTTTTGCTATAGGGTGTGTGCGCTCGCCAGAAGGACAGAGGCAGAGAGGCAGAAAGCGAGAAATCACCCCCTACAGGGGATGGCCACACCACAATCCCTTCTCCATTCTCCTTTCGGGGTCTTGGGCACACACGCACACATGCCCGGTGTGAGTTTAAGCCACCGGGTCTGGGAATTGAACCACGGTCGGCTACATGGGAGTCCAGCAACATAGCCATTAGGCCAATTGCTGGTCCCAAGGGAGACTCAGATTATTCTAAAGCACTAAAGTAGAAAAATATATGTTTTAAGAGTAGAGAGGAACTTGTCTAGCATTAATAGGCTTTTTATTTTTTTGGAGAGGTTTTTCACTACAGGGCGTGTGTGCTTGCCAGAGAGACAGAGAGACAGTGAGAAATCACCCTTCAGGGGGGATGGCCATGCCACAATCCCTTCTCCTCCATTCTCCTCTCAGGATCTTGGGCATGTACGCACATGCGCCTGGTGTGAGTTTAAGCCACTGGGTCCAGGAATTGAACCGTGGTCGACTACATGGGAGTCCAGCAAACATAGTCATTACGCTAACTGCAAAATACTTAAAACAGTTTATTTGTTGTTCTTAATTTGATCAGAGAGAGAGAAAGGGAAAGTGAGAAAGCAAGCCACTAGGTCCAGGACTTGAACCATGGTTGGCCATGTGGGAGTCCAGCACCTTAATCACCATGCCACCTGCTGGCCCCACCAGGCCTTGTTTTTAAAATCATAAGAAATGAGAGAGAAGGTTTTTGGCGAGGTATTTTCTGTTGTAAACTTATTTTATATGTCTTATAAATTCAGTGTTTATGGTTATTAGGACATGGTTTTTATTTGTACTTTAGTAGTACAGGAGAAAAACAAAGTGATAAAGCTTAGTATAGTTGAAGATCTTATTAAACTCTTTCAAACATTTTAATGGTACAAAGTACATAAACATCTTGCTAGTTACACTAATATTCTGTCCACTAAAACTAGCCTAGAAAGTTCAGCTAGCAATATATTCTGTCATTGAATGATACAGTTATCCCAGAATGGCATTTTGATAAATGTTTTCAAATTCATATTTAGATAAATTATAATTTTATTCTGAGGGACATTTTAAAACTCTAGTAATAGTAACATTAGGATTTCCCATTAGACCAAAGATAAACAATAGGGTTTTTTTAAAGACTAGGAATAACGGGGCTGGCAAGTGGTGTGGTAGTCAAGGGCGCTGGATTCCCACATGGCCAACTGTGGTTCATGTCCCGGACCTGGGGGCTTGCTTTCTCACTTTACCTTTCTCTCTCTGTCCGGTCAAATTAAAAAATAATTATAATGAATGGAATTAAATAAATAAATAATTAAAAAAAAAAAAAAAGAAAACAAACAGGAATAAGTAGAGTGTGTTCACAATTCAGCACGTGCCAGGAGGATACCCAGAATGAGGAAAGAGCAGTAGTTGTGACTCGTATGACCTGAACCCTATTCCCTTAACTCATCTGTAGCTCTGTTCCGAAACACCAATGTGGAAGATGTCCTGAATGCCCGAAAACTGGAGCGAGACACGCTTCGGGATGAGTCCCAAAGGAAAAAGGAGCAGGACAAGCTACAGAGGGAGAGGGACAAACTAGCTAAACAGGAGCGCAAGGAAAAGGAAAAGAAAAGGACACAGAGAGGGGAGCGAAAGCGATAGCCTTGGACTACTTCTTTCCCTCTGTGAACTTGATCAAAGGGAGAATTATTTGTGCACACGTGTATTTAAGAGAAATGAGAGAACATATGTTTTAAGAGTAGAGAGGAACTTGTCTAGCATTAATAGGCTTTTTATTTTTTTGGAGAGGTTTTTCACTACAGGGCGTGTGTGCTTGCCAGAGAGACAGAGAGACAGTGAGAAATCACCCTTCAGGGGGGATGGCCATGCCACAATCCCTTCTCCTCCATTCTCCTCTCAGGATCTTGGGCATGTACGCACATGCGCCTGGTGTGAGTTTAAGCCACTGGGTCCAGGAATTGAACCGTGGTCGACTACATGGGAGTCCAGCAAACATAGTCATTACGCTAACTGCAAAATACTTAAAACAGTTTATTTGTTGTTCTTAATTTGATCAGAGAGAGAGAAAGGGAAAGTGAGAAAGCAAGCCACTAGGTCCAGGACTTGAACCATGGTTGGCCATGTGGGAGTCCAGCACCTTAATCACCATGCCACCTGCTGGCCCCACCAGGCCTTGTTTTTAAAATCATAAGAAATGAGAGAGAAGGTTTTTGGCGAGGTATTTTCTGTTGTAAACTTATTTTATATGTCTTATAAATTCAGTGTTTATGGTTATTAGGACATGGTTTTTATTTGTACTTTAGTAGTACAGGAGAAAAACAAAGTGATAAAGCTTAGTATAGTTGAAGATCTTATTAAACTCTTTCAAACATTTTAATGGTACAAAGTACATAAACATCTTGCTAGTTACACTAATATTCTGTCCACTAAAACTAGCCTAGAAAGTTCAGCTAGCAATATATTCTGTCATTGAATGATACAGTTATCCCAGAATGGCATTTTGATAAATGTTTTCAAATTCATATTTAGATAAATTATAATTTTATTCTGAGGGACATTTTAAAACTCTAGTAATAGTAACATTAGGATTTCCCATTAGACCAAAGATAAACAATAGGGTTTTTTTAAAGACTAGGAATAACGGGGCTGGCAAGTGGTGTGGTAGTCAAGGGCGCTGGATTCCCACATGGCCAACTGTGGTTCATGTCCCGGACCTGGGGGCTTGCTTTCTCACTTTACCTTCTCTGCTCTGTCCGGTCAAATTAAAAAATAATTATAATGAATGGAATTAAATAAATAAATAATTAAAAAAAAAAAAAAGAAAACAAACAGGAATAAGTAGAGTGTGTTCACAATTCAGCACGTGCCAGGAGGATACCCAGAATGAGGAAAGAGCAGTAGTTGTGACTCGTATGACCTGAACCCTATTCCCTTAACTCATCTGTAGCTCTGTTCCGAAACACCAATGTGGAAGATGTCCTGAATGCCCGAAAACTGGAGCGAGACACGCTTCGGGATGAGTCCCAAAGGAAAAAGGAGCAGGACAAGCTACAGAGGGAGAGGGACAAACTAGCTAAACAGGAGCGCAAGGAAAAGGAAAAGAAAAGGACACAGAGAGGGGAGCGAAAGCGATAGCCTTGGACTACTTCTTTCCCTCTGTGAACTTGATCAAAGGGAGAATTATTTGTGCACACGTGTATTTAAGAGAAATGAGAGAACATTGCAATATGGCTTTTCAAGGCATTTCCCCTTTTGTTTACATAGTTGAAGGAAAATCACAATCACTTCTAATTACAAAATATGCCATGTTTCAGTGGTGTGGGCAATCAGATTATTATAGTTGATGTCTGTACCAAAGATCTGGAATGGGGGCAACCTTTATATTTTAATACTGAAGTCCTGCATTCCTTTTGGCTACTTTAGAATCTTCCCTAACCTTGTATAAATAACAAGAGGATTCATAAGGCTGTTAAGGTTTTCATCCTGAAGGACCAGAAGCATGATCACTCCTTCCCCAAGATGAAACATGGAAGTACAAATTGCTTCTAGAGACAGTATTCCTCCCTAAATGTAGAATTGTTTTATGGCTGAAATAGAAAGTAATGAAGAGCTTTACCTGGACCCAGATTGTATCTTACATTAGCTGCAAACTAGGAAAATGGAAGATTATTTGGGATGTGTTCTAGATCTGAGATTTTTTGTTTGTTTGTTTCAGCCTATGGGAGGAAAAGAAGTATCCATAAGTAGAGATAGTTACATATTTTTCTTCCTGTAGGCTGTGACCATGTTTTAGGAAAGGTGTCAATATCACATGCAAGTATATCATGGTTTAGCTAGATTCACTTTTTTTATAATCATGAATTTTCTTGAGTGCTGGTAAAGATTTTAATCCTGATTGTTCCTATGAATTATGAACATTAGCACTTGGTAATTCCTGGTTTAGAGAAGCTGGAGGAATCCCCCCCCCTTTTTTTTGGAGAGTTTTTTGCTATAGGGCGCGTGCACTAACCAGAGAGAGAGAGAGACAGAGAGACAGAAAGTGAGAAATCACCCCCCGGGGGATAGCCATGCCACAATCCCTTCTCCATTCTCCTCTTGGGATCTTAAACTCATGCATGCACATGTGCCCAGTGTGAGTTTAAGCCACTGGGTCCAGGACTCAAACCGCTGCAGTCAACTACATGGGAGTCCAGCGACATAGCCATTATGCTAGCTGCTGGTCCCAGAAATCGCCCTTTTAAGGAAGAAACACTGGAACGCTCTACTAACACAAAGATATTTAAGCATGTACACAGTAGGTGCTCAACAAAGTTTATTCAGTGAGTGAATGGAAAATTGCTTGGGAGAGTCAAAGTGAGCAAGAACTCTCCATTTCTACTTGTCACAAGCTTCATTCAGTTGTGAATAAGCCCTTGACTTGACTTCAGGCAAGAAGCCTCAGATCAATATCTCTAAGTCAGAAAGCAAGTATTTGATACCAGGAGTCAGCCAACTACCACCTGCAGACCAGGCTCAGTCAGTTTTTGTGTGGTGTAAACTAAAAATGGTTTTTACATGTCTAGACCACTCGGCCATCCTGACACCTGGTTTTTATATGTCTAGAGGGTTATAAAAGATGACAGAGACCATATGTGGCCTGTAAAACTTGAAATATCTGACCTTTTAGAGAAAAAGTTTGCCAACCTGTTTTATACCATGAACTATGAAATTAACAGTTTTGCCTTTTGTGCAAAAGGTTAAAAAAGAAAAATCATGGTTAAGGAAAAGGAGATGTGTTACCTCTTCATATACTCCTCTAACCGTGAAATTGCAAAAATAAAACAACCACCTTTTAAAAAAATAAACTTTATTTAATCACTATCTTTTGACTTATTCTGACTCCTTGTAGCTATTCATGAAAATGAATTCTCTGTGGACAATTACTTAAGAGTGTGTGAGTGTGTGTGTGTGTTTTAAGTTTCTTATTGGGCGTGCACTCACCAGAGAGAAAGTGAGAAATCACCCCCAGTGAGGATGGCCACGTTGCAATCCCTTCATTCTCTTGGGATTCTGGGCACATACTCCCAGTGTGTTTTTTGGGCCTCAAACAGCACAGGTAGCCATGTGGGTTCCAGCCACCTTAACTGCCATGCTGGCCCTCAATTATGTTAATTTATATTTTATACTATTTATTTAACTTTATTATTTATTGTAATTTGACCAGAGAGGAACAGAGTGAGAGAGGGGGAGGGGGAGAGGAAAAGTGAGAAAGCAAGCCGCCAGGTCTGGGACTTGAACCATGGTTGGCCCTGTGGGAGTCTAGTGCCCTTAACCACGCCACCTGCCAGCCCCTTATGCTTTGTTTTGATTAGACACGTAATGTATATTCTACTAGTGGAATCTCTTAGAATACATACATTTTCTGTTTTTTCTTTTCTGTGAAGAAATGATTAGATCAGAAAGATTAACCTTGCTTTTTAGAAGCGCAGTGATTGGCTGTGAATTCCTTTGGAGCATAAGTCCTTTATGTGGTGGTAGTAATAGATTGCAACTATGGATACAATATAGTATAGTCTATTTTTAATTGAGTAACCCTTTATCTTGGTATTTTTGTTTGTTCTCTGCTTAGGTTTTTTTTTTTTTTTTTTTTTAGAGAGGTTTTTGCGTGCGGTCGCCAGACAGACAGAGAGAGACATAGAGACAGAAAGCGAGAAATCACCCCCCAGGGGGGATGGTCACGCCGCAATCCCCTCTCCTCCATTCTCCTCTCGGGATCTTGGGCACGCACGCACATGCGCCCGGCGTGAGTTGTTTTAGCCACCGGGTCCGGGACACGAACCTCGGTCGACTACGTGGGAGTCCAGCGACATAGCCATTACGCTAACTGCTGGTTCCCTGTTCTCTGCTTAGTTTTAAAGATACAAGTTAAATCCATGGATCACTGAAGAGTACTTGTTTCAATTTGTTAGCAGTTTATCCTTTCTTGTGGTATTTTATGTGAAACTAATGCTTAAACAGAAAAAGATCCGCACATTAGGCTTTGAGTACAGTTATCTAACTCTGGTGCTATTAATTTTTTTAATAATTATTTAATTTTTATTTATTCATTCATTTATTTAAATTTGACCAGAGAGAGAGGGAAAGTGAAAGGGCAAGCCACCAGGTCTGGAACTTGAACCCTGGTTAGTCCTGTGGGAGTGTCCAGAGCCTTAACCACCATGCCACCTGCTGGTGCCAGTTATTAAATTCTTTACCTCTTAAATATTCAGTGTTTATTTTGCTATGGGGGCGTGCGCTTGCCAGAGACACAAGATGGAGACAGACAGACAGTGAGAAATCATCCTGCAGGGGAGGGGCACACCACAATCCCTTCTCTATTCTCCTCTTGGGGTTTTGGGTATGCATGCACACATGCCTGGTGTTTCAAGCTGCCAGGTCCAATATCAAACTGCTGTCAACTACTTGGGAGTCCAACGATGCAGCCATTATGCCATCTGCTGGTCTCTAAATGTTCAGTGTTTTAAAGAGCAGGTTTTGTTTTTTATTTCTTCCACATGAAAAACAGGCACCAGATGGGGCCAGCAGATGGCGTAATAGTTATGTCATTGGACTCCCACGTGGTTGACTGTGGTTTGAGTCTTGGACCTGGTGCATGTGCATGTGTGCCCAAGTTCCTGAGAGGAGAATGGAGAAGGGATTGCAGGATGGCCATCCTAGGGGCGATTTCTCACTTTCTGTCTCTGTCTTTCTGGTGAGTGCACACACCCTATAGCAAAAACCTCTCAAAAAAAAAAAAA